ACTTTTATTGGACCGAGGACACTCATGAGCTTGGCTCAAAGTATTATTTTGGGTCCAAACAGTGAGTTATGGATTTGGGGAAAGGATCTCCCGAATATTGGGTAGTTGTCATTAAACACAGTAGAATACTTTATGAAATGAGCGGAGTAACAGAAAATATAGCTAGAAGGGCTTCTTTTTTTTTCGTCGAAAGCTAGATGGGCTATTTCAATAGCTGCATCTAAAATGCCTAAACGAAAGTTACATAATCACCGATTAATACTACAATTTTATGATATTTCACTTTACACTTATGATATTTATTTTCGTTTGTAATTGTAAAATTTCATATTCGACTCCTATGCTGAATGTTAATAATATTTATGTTGAATTTGATACATTTATGGCCCTTATGGCTAATTCATAGTTTTGGGTATTTGTTTCGGCCACAGTTTGTTTCTTTGTAACAGTTCCGCGGACTCAACCTGATTTTTCTATGTTTTGTAATCCCGTTATAGGCAAGTATAGCTTCGGTATAAATTTGTTGTCTTGAATGTGTTTTTCGGTCGCGGCATACCAATTTGTGTCCAATACGAATTAGTGGCAACTCGAGGATTACATTTTTTATTCATCATTCATAATTCTCTCAATATTCTATGAGCTTTGTGTTCAAATTTGTCATGAAAGCGATATTAGAATTTGCCACTAGAGAATGTATCTTATTTTGGAATATTTTCCTTTTCTTTTAAAAAAGGAACAACCCATTCATATCCATCTTCTTCGGGTCTGGAAAGGTTATGAAAAATTTCACCATGTCCGTGTTCACAGTCAAGTGAACTTACCAGCTCGGAGCATCGAATCCAGAACCTCCCATATTTTTTATATTTATTAGGAAGCCGCAATCTCTATCTTTACCACTAGGCCTCTTACAATAGATAATATTGGAATATTTTCATTTGCACGAACATGTAACATGTAATTGGGACCCTAACTTTGGTTGTGCCATTAAAATTCCAGCTTGTAACATGAAATATTTAGATTCATTAAAACAACACCAATCTTTCTGTTTTCATCTTGTTCATAATTCATAATTGTCTTCTGACGACTCAATTGGCTCAAAAGTCAAATCTTGCAGTGAAAGAGATGCGTGATTGGAGAGATTTTCAACTGTCCTAGAAATACAGCTCGATTTATTAAGTGTTACAATATAAATGGATTAGGATTCTCTTTCCATTTTTTTTTTCTTTTTCTTCTCTTTTCTCTTATTTGAATGGTCATATCAACATCTTATATTAATTTTTTTATAAAAAAAAGAAAGACAAAATAAAGAATATAAGAGGAGTGGATGAAAGGAGATGGAAAAAGAATAGGAGAAAATATTATGATATTTGATTAATGGAAAATGATTCTCGCTAGATTCTTTTTTTGGGGATTTGGGGAATTCTGTGATCATATTCATTTATATATCGTGCAATCAATTTTTATTAGATACTATTTACATTTAATTTTAAAATTTAAATATAAAATAATTTTTGATCGATAATAAACGAACATAATCACACAATTCTTCGCATTGCCAATAAAAAGTCCTCTCCGAATCCTTTTTCCTTCATCGATCACTATTTTTCACACGCTGAAAGAGGGAGAGACTAGTCAGAGTCAAGAGTCTCTCACTAGACTTGTCAGAAAAACCCGCCTTATTATATCTCCTTTTTTTTTTAATCTTCTTCTTTTCTTTTCGCTTTCACATCGGCCAAAACAGTGTTTTTCTCTCTCCATTCGCAACCAAGAAAAAGCCACAAACTGCAAAAGCACTTATTGGAAACAAAGGGAGGATAAAATACTCTAGTCAAGAAAAAATTAAAGAGAGGAGAACAGAAAAAAGCTAAAGTACAATGAAAAAAAGTGGATTTGCTACTGCCAGTCCTCTTTAACTTGTTTCTTTTCTGCAACGGGATAAAATTATAAGTTGGTCTCTCACCATTAACACTAGTTTATAGTTCGTTTTTAAACTAAAAATTCGTTATCTGAAATTTTTTATTTTAACAAAAAGGAACGATTGGTCTTTACATGAGATTTTAACCTCAGATTTTTCAATTTGATTACATGGCAGGTATGCAATGTGTTTATGAACCTTCATCTCATTTTGAGTTTGATCTATTAATTTATTTATTTTTTTGTCAAACTATAGTTTTGTTAGATTAGTTACCGACAGAATTTGAACTCACGTCATCATGTAGGGACTCCACACATTTCCACTACTGTAGTAAAGGTCCATTAGCGAGCCATTAATTTATTAGAACTGAATATGCGATACCTACATTATTCAATGGTGTACCTTTTGTTAAATCTAGGATCTCAATGAACATTTTTATATCTTTCAAAAGACCAATTATAAGGTAGGTTAATTGGACTATTCGTCCCGTAGTGATAGGATAGTTGTAAGATAGCCTCTGTAGTCAAAAAATTAGGATTCAAGCCCATGTGGTGAAATCTTTTAAGATTTAGGTTCAAAATTAAAAATTTCAATTTTTCGTTAATTATTAACACATGAATCACACATATGAGGCTAAAACAGAACTCTATGTTAATTGTTAGTACGTGAAACTTACATATGAGGCTAACTTCACCGCATGGGCTTAATTCATAAGGGAGACTATTAGTCCAATTAGGACATGGATCCTCTCCGGATCCAATTGTCCTAATCCTAGGGATTAATAAATCTGGACCATTGAAATTTGATTTAATGGCTACAAATAGGGATTCACTCTAAAAGTTATAATAACTTTAACCGTTGGATCAAATTTCAATAGTTCGGATTCATTGATCTCTAGAATGAGGACAATTGGATTCGGAGAGGATCCATGTCCATCCAATTAAGTCTTATAAGGTAATTATAATGTTTTTTCATTTTGTTTCACGGAAGCAAAGTTAGGGAGCATAAAGAAGTTAACTCCAGACAAACGGCGGTTCCAACGAAGTTAACTCCACCCTCTTGAAACGGCGTCGTTCCGGACGCGTACTCATTGGAAGTCGCGTTTTGCTTAAACGTTGGAAAGCGGTCCTGACGTCTCCAACTCCGCGTTTTGTGTCCGAAAGCAATTTTGGAGAAAAAAAACATAAAAAAAACGTGAAGCGTAAATGCAGAGATTTTGCAGAACACTAAACACACTGGAATCGAATTTCTCAAACCACTTCCATAAATTCTGAGCGTCTGTATTTTCCTTTCCAGCTTCATAGTTTTCCGGGAAATTATCTGTCCCCACCAAAAACCTCTCTCCCGTCCACTTCTCCAGCTCCACCATTCCTTCTCCCCTGTTTGGTTCCTGAGAAAATCTGCAAAAGAAAAAAGAAGGCCCACAAAAGAAAAAGATGCTTCCTGTCTTTCTCCTTAAAACGAAAACCCATTTCACCATTGCAGCAGAACAACCCAAAGCTTTCTCATTTCTCTGAGCTTCTTTTTCTCTCTGGTTTTGTCGGCTGCCAAACATTGACTGGAAACAGTGTTTGACTTGTCGTTTGTTGTTTGGTTTTTTTGTTTCTGGGTTTGTTTGGTGAGGTGGGTTATGAGCAAATGGGGGACTCGGGTGCAAAAGTGAGGCTGGTTCGGTGCCCAAAGTGTGAGAATCTTCTTCCGGAGCTTGATGATTACTCTGTTTACCAGTGTGGTGGTTGTGGTGCTGTTCTTCGAGGTTTGCTTCTTCTTCTTTGATTCCTTTTTTTTTTTTTTTGGAGCTTTTTTGGTGGGGTTGGTGAGAAAACTGGGAAAAAGATAGAAACTTTACGTTTTGTGTCACATGATTCGTGTTGGGTTTCTGACCAAATTGTCAGTTACTTTGATTTTCTTTGTAACCAAACGGCTACCTTGTTCTTTGTTTTATATGATGGTTGTGTTTTTTTATTTTATAGAAGTTTGTGTTTTGTTTATGTTATTGGAAATTAAGGAAAGGGAATGAGATCAGGGTTTACAATTTTTGGAATTTGGTATGGATTTGGACCCAAAAAAAAAAAAAAATCCACACCGAGGTTAATAATATTCAATCTGTCAATGGTTTGGATTTGTGGATTGAGATTATTAAACCCGAAAAACCAGATATGGAACTCAGTAGCCGCATTACTAGAAACAAAATTCATAATCTAGGATCCCAATCTGAATAGCATTATGTTTCCCGAGTTTTTTCTGCATTCAAGATACAGGAAATCTTTTTAGTTTTGAGGTTATTTTCCTCTCACTAATATTGAGGATCGGATTGTTTATATCGTTTTATAGCAAACAAGAAAAGGCAAGAGGGGGATACTTTGTTCGAGAAGTCGGAGGAAGAAAGGTTTGGAGGAGTTTGTGCCAAATCAGATGATTCAGACAATAAAGGAATAGTTGTGTTAAGTGATGCTTCTGATATGGATGTTAAGTCAAGTGATGGTTCTTTGAGGTGTGATCAAAGGAATTTAGAGAAGGAAAAGGTTAAAAATCCTGAGATTGTTAGGAAGCAACTGAAAGATGCAACTGAGAACTGGCTTGTCAAGGATGGCGTTGATATGAGCATGAAAAGAGATGAATTGGAGAATGCTGTGGGAAGAGAACATGGGGATTTGAATGCCCAATTTGGCCCCACAAATGCAAGCCGAAGATCAGAATGGATGGAAGATTGGCGAGCTCGGAAGAATGGTGAAAAAGAGGGGGTTCGAAGACATCAAATAACTGATGTTGGAGGTATGAGGTCCTCAACTTCAATTTATCCAGACGAGGGTCCGTCAAATTACCCCTTGTGTTCTTCTCATAGGGGTAGGGAACCATTGAGAAAAACTATTGACCCAGATGAGGCAAACAGAGTTCTGTACCTTGAACAAGATCGAGCCGAGCTTCTGAAGAAGCTGGATGAGCTGCGGGATCAACTGAGCCGGTCTGGTGATTTAGTTGATAAGCCGAAAGAGAAAGCTCCCCTCGATGGGGGTGTGGTTCCTCCAGATCCTTATGGTAGTTCTAACACTTCGTATGCAGGTGCTTCTTCAGGGGCAAATAGGGCTTCGATGGAGTACTTTGGACCTGGTAAACCTGTTGCAGCACGCACTCATTTCAATCACTTTCCGGAGCCATTTCCCTACACCAATGGCCATGAAATACCTATGGCTCACTTTTCTTCTTCCATGCATAATTCAAGCCATTTAGCCAGATATGGCGATCCTTTTGGATCCCACATGCACAGTGGAGCTCCTCATCCCTTTCCCAGGCAATACCAGCAACCGTCACTTCCATACTTTTCTGGACAGTATGTTGAAAACAATCCTGATCCGTATGAGCTTTACCCACATAATGCGTCGTTTCACCATCCTACTTGCCCTTGCTTCTATTGCTATGACAACCACCGGCGAGGTTCAGTGCCAGTTCCACCCGCTGCTTTCCACAATAAAAGGTTCCCTGATTTCCCTAGCAATCCCATGCTCCATCCTGAAAACCCCCGGGATGGTTGGCCCATATGATCACAACAAACCTCGGACTTCGATTCCTCCACCCATTCATGTTTCACAAACCCATACAAGATGGCCAAGTGACCTTAACCCCCAAATGGGAAGCTTTGTTCATTTCCGTCCAGATAGGGTGGTACTAACCAGTGGTGGCCGGCGATGTCTTCCATTTTCTGGTGGTGCTCCATTGGTGACATGTAGTAACTGCTTTGAAATTCTGCAGCTGCCCAAAAAAGTTCTGCTTGCGGAAAAGAATAAACAGAAAGTGCGATGTGGGGCATGCTCTACTGTGATCGATTTTGCGGTTTCAAATAAGAAACTAGTTCTTTCTCATGCAGAAGCAAAGAACAATCCGTCGGAAGTTAATAACTTGAATGAGGAGGTCACAACAACAACAACAACAACAACAAAGCCTTTTCCCACTAAGTGGGGTCGGCTATATGAATCCTAGAACGCCATTGCGCTCGGTTTTGTGTCATGTCCTCCGTTAGATCTAAGTACTCTAAGTCTTTTCTTAGAGTCTCTTCCAAAGTTTTCCTAGGTCTTCCTCTACCCCTTCGGCCCTGAACCTCTGTCCCGTAGTCACATCTTCGAACCGGAGCGTCAGTCGGCCTTCTTTGCACATGTCCAAATCACCGGAGCCGATTTTCTCTCATCTTTCCTACAATTTCGGCTACTCCTACTTTACCTCGGATATCCTCATTCCCTATCTTATCCTTTCTCGTGTGCCCACACATCCCACAAAGCATCCTCATCTCCGCTACACCCATTTTGTGTACGTGTTGATGCTTCACCGCCCAACATTCTGTGCCATACAACATCGCTGGCCTTATTACCGTCCTATAAAATTTTCCCTTGAGCTTCAGTGGCCTACGACGGTCACACAACACGCCGGATGCACTCTTACACTTCATCCATCCAGCTCGTATTCTATGGTTGAGATCTCCATCTAATTCTCCGTTCTCTTGCAAGATAGATCCTAGGTAGCGAAAACGGTCGCTTTTTGTGATCTTCGCTAGATTGCTCCGGTCATTAGTGTGGATAAGTATATAAATGGATAGAGATAGGAAAGCAAACACAAGATGTACGTGGTTCACCCAGATTGGCTACGTCCACGGAATAGAAGAGTTCTCATTAATTGTGAAGGGTTTACACAAGTACATGGGTTCAAGCTCTCCTTTAATGAGTACAAGTGAATGATTTAGTACAAATGACATTAGGAAATATTTGTGGAGAATGATCTCGTAATCACGAAACTTCTAAGTATCGGAGTGTGGTGTCGTCTTGACTTGCCTTATCTGTCTCATAGGTAGATGTGGCATCTTCTCTGGAAGTACTCTTCCTCCATCCAGGGGTGGTATCTTTAACTGGTGGAGATGCACAAGGTAATGTATCAATTTCACTTGAAGCTTACTTGTAGTTTCAAGCTTGGTCAAGCGCGATACAAACCATGTAGTAGGAGTCCCCAAAGTCGCCGAGCTAGGGGGTCTGCTGAAAGAGGTGACAGACAAGGTAAGCAATCAGAGCTCCGACTGATTGTTCACCTTCTCCCCATCTTGCAGCAGCATGAAGGATAAAAGAGAAGAAAAATGAGAAGAGATGATATGAGATACTTTTGCTTTTGAAGAAGTAACTTTCCACAGGCTTATTCTTGAACTGAGCTGGAGGGTTTTCTGGTTTCCTCCAGAGTATAAGGCCGACTGAAGAATTTGAGGGTCAAAACAAGTCCATCAAATCTAGAGTACGTTCCACCCTGCTGATATGGGATACTTTTGCTTTTGACAGAGTAATGGATGTATCGGCACGTGTGCTGTTACGCTTGTCTCCACATGCTTCCTTGTATCCTTCGCACTTGCCCTATCTGTTCCTCAAGCAGATGCGGAATCTTCCCTGGAAACATAAGATGTTGAAGATGAGTACTCGAGAGCAATGCCAGGTAAGTAATCAGGTAAGGGGTTCCAGGCAGTCAGTTCCTGGCTGGAAGCTTGATTCCAAGTGCTGACTGATTGCTCTCTTTCTCCTTGTCTTGCAGGTAAAAAACAAGGCCAAAGGAAAAGACAGGGAAAAAGCATGATATGGGATACTCTTGCTTTTAACCCTGATGATATGAGATATTCTTGCTCTAGTATAGCTTGTTTGCAGAGGTATTATCGGGGGGAAAAGAAAGCTGAATATTTCGAAAGGCTTCGTTGGGAGTGCCCTCTCTCAGATATGATGAAGGGTTGAGCATTTTTGCAGGTCTGCCTGTCCGTTGGGGATGGAGGTCGACATATATAGGAGTCTCCCTAACAACAAGTAGTAATGCTATTCCTTTACCCTGCTTGGTCATAGCACGGTAGTGGGAGCTGCCAGTTTCACATGTTTTAACTCTGTCAGAGCACTTTGAAAAAGTGGTCTGTGGTATCTGGCTCTCGAGATTCGGAGAACGATGCCTCTTCGATTTTTGAGAAAGCAATCATGCTGGGGGTCTGGCTCTCGAGATTCGGAGAGCAGTGTCTCTTCGATTTTTGAGGAAGTAATCATGTTGGGAGTCTGGCTCTCGAGATTCGGAAGGCGGTGCCTCTTCGATTTTGGAGCAAGCAATCCTGTTGGGAGTGTTGTCTCGAATGTGAGTAAAGGTTGGGCATGTTTGCTAGTCTACCTTGCCCCGAAGCACAAAGGTTGACACACACAGGGACTTTCCAATTATCCAGCAATGGTACTGTTCCTTTACCCTCTCTTCGCTTTTGAGAAAGTAGTCATGTTGGGAGTCTGGCTCTCGAGATTCGGAGGACGGTGCCTCTTCGATTTTGGAGCAAGCAATCTTGTTGGGAGTGTTTTCTCGAATGTGAGTAAAGGTTGGGCATGTTTGCTAGTCTACCTTGCCACGAAGCACAGAGGTTGACACACAGGGACTTTCCAATTATCCAGCAGTGGTACTGTTCCTTTACCCTTGTGGGTAATAATATGGTAGCTAGACCTTCAAAATTTATGTGTCTAAACTTTGTTAGTGCTGTTTCTTTGCTATTCTTTTACCTTTCTTGGTCAGAGCGATGTAGTGGGAGCTGCAAGCTTCACGTGCTCAACTTTGGCAGAGAACTTTGGCAAAGTTATCTGTGGTACCCATGAGCTATTGTTGCGTGTGGGAAGTGGGTGATTGAACAGTAAGATTCATGTGCTTTCTACTTCACCAGAAGTCTTCGACAGAATGCCCATAATTTCTGCAAAGCTGAGTGTGCGTGTGACAGGTGCTGACAAGGCTAGAAAAGTAGGTGCCTCTTCGATTTCTGAGATCGGCCCTCGTGGTCTCTGAGCAGCCCAGCTTTTGAGAAAGCGAGCGCCTCTTCGATTGATTCGGAGAACGATGCCTCATCGATTTTTGAGAAAGCAATCATGCTGGGGGTCTGGCTCTCGAAGATTCGGGAGTAGTGTCTCTTCGATTTTTGAGAAAGTAATCATGTTGGGAGTCTGGCTCTCGAGATTCGGAGGGCGGTGCCTCTTCGATTTTGGAGCAAGCAATCTTGTTGGGAGTGTTTTCTCGAATGTGAGTAAAGGTTGGGCATGTTTGCTAGTCTACCTTGCCACGAAGCACAGAGGTTGACACACAGGGACTTTCCAATTATCCAGCAATGGTACTGTTCCTTTACCCTCTCTTCGATTTTTAAGAAAGTAGTCATGTTGGGAGTCTGGCTCTCGAGATTCGGAGGACGGTGCCTCTTCGATTTTGGAGCAAGCAATCTTATTGGGAGTGTTTTCTCGAATGTGAGTAAAGGTTGGGCATGTTTGCTAGTCTACCTTGCCACGAAGCACAGAGGTTGACACACAGGGACTTTCCAATTATCCAGCAGTGGTACTGTTCCTTTACCCTTGTGGGTAATAATATGGTAGCTAGACCTTCAAAATTTATGGGTCTAAACTTTGTTAGTGCTGTTTCTTTTTGCTATTCTTTTACCCTTCTTGGTCAGAGCGATGTAGTGGGAGCTGCAAGCTTCACGTGCTCAACTTTGGCAGAGAACTTTGGCAAAGTTATCTGTGGTACCCATGAGCTATTGTTGCGTGTGGGAAGTGGGTGATTGAACAGTAAGATTCATGTGTTTTCTACTTCCCCAGAAGTCTTCGACAGAATGCCCATAATTTCCGCAAAGCTGAGTGTGCGTGTGACAGGTGCTGACAAGGCTGGAAAAGTAGGTGCCTCTTCGATTTCTGAGATCGGCCCTCGTGGTCTCTGGGGAGCCCAGCTTTTGAGAAAGCGAGCGCCTCTTCGATTTCTGAGATCGGCCTTCGTGGTCTTTGAGCAGCCCAACTTTTGAGAAAGCAAACGCCTCTTCGATTTCTGAGATCAACCCTCGTGATCTCTAAGCAGCCCAGCTTTTGAGAAAGCAAACGCCTCTTCGATTTCTGAGCAGGCGCCTCTTCGATTTCTGAAGCTCCGTCGAGTGCAGATTTTTATAGGGGCTGGCATTAAGTTCCAAAGCACACTTGAATCTCCACCAGTAGAAGCTTCATTCTTGCACTTCTAAGATCTTGATTTGTCCGACCTCTTCTCTCTTCAACACCTTTGAAAATGTCTGGCCCCTCCGACCGTCGTTTTGACTTGAACCTTGTTGAAGAGGCAGCCCCGCCTTCTCCAGACAACATATGGCGCCCATCCTTCGTCTCCCCTACTGGTCCTCTTACCGTTGGGGATTCCGTGATGAAGAATGATATGACCGCTGCGGTGGTGGCCAGGAACCTTCTCACTCCCAAAGATAACAGACTACTTTCCAAACGGTCTGATGAGTTAGCTGTTAAGGATTCGCTGGCTCTCAGTGTTCAGTGTGCAGGTTCTGTGTCTAATATGGCCCAACGCCTATTTGCTCGAACCCGCCAAGTTGAATCATTGGCGGCTGAAGTGATGAGTCTCAAACAGGAGATTAGAGGGCTCAAGCATGAGAATAAACAGTTGCACCGGCTCGCACATGACTATGCTACAAACATGAAGAGGAAGCTTGACCAGATGAAGGAAACTGATGGTCAGGTTTTACTTGATCATCAGAGATTTGTGGGTTTGTTCCAAAGGCATTTATTGCCTTCGTCTTCTGGGGCTGTACCGCGTAATGAAGCTCCAAATGATCAACCTCTGATGCCTCCTCCTTCTAGGGTTCTGTCCAGTACTGAGGCTCCAAATGATCCCCCTCCGGTGCCTTCTCTTTCTGGGGCTCTACCGACTGCTGAGACTTCTCCTAAGCAACCTTTGTGAAGGCTCCCTCTTGTGTGTTTTATTTTGACTCATGTATATGTACATATTTGTAGCTTATCGGGGATATCAATAAATAAGCTTTCCTTCATTTCAACGTATTGTGTTAAATACACCAAAGCCTTCTTCGCTAAGTTCTTTGAATTTTCTTTTTGTTGAAGCTTGTATGTTGAAGCTTTCTGAGTGGAGCATGTAGGTTGGGGTAGTGTTCCCTTAATTTCCCGAGTGAGGAAAACTTCTCGGTTGGAGACTTGGAAAATCCAAGTCACTGAGTGGGATCGGCTATATGAATCTTAGAACGCCATTGTGCTCGATCCTGTGTCATGTCCTTCGTTAGATCCAAGTACTCTAAGTCTTTTCTTAGAGTCTCTTCCAAAGTTTTCCTAGGTCTTCCTCTACCCCTTCGGCCCTGAACCTCTGTCCCATAGTCGCATCTTCTAATCGGAGCGTCAGTAGGCCTTCTTTGCACATGTCCAAACCACCGTAACCGATTTTCTCTCATCTTTCCTTCAATTTCGGCTACTCCTACTTTACCCCGGATATCCTCATTCCTAATCTTATCCTTTCTCGTGTGCCCACACATCCAACGAAGCATCCTCATCTCCGCTACACCCATTTTGTGTACGTGTTGATGTTTCACCGCCCAACATTCTGTGCCATACAGCATCGCCGGCCTTATTGCCGTCCTATAAAAATTTTCCCTTGAGCTTCAGTGGCATACGGCGGTCACACAACACGCCGGATGCACTCTTCCACTTCATCCATCCAGCTTGTATTCTATGGTTGAGATCTCCATCTAATTCTCCGTTCTTTTGCAAGATAGATCCTAGGTAACGAAAACGGTCGCTCTTTGGTATTTCTTGATCTCCGATCCTCACCCCTAACTCGTTTTGGCCTCCATTTGCACTGAACTTGCACTCCATATATTCTGTCTTTGATCGGCTTAGGCGAAGACCTTTAGATTCCAACACTTCTCTCCAAAGGTTAAGCTTTGCATTTACCCCTTCCTGAGTTTCATCTATCAACACTATATCGTCTGCGAAAAGCATACACCAAGGAATATCATCTTGAATATGTCCTGTTAACTCATCCATTACCAACGCAAAAAGGTAAGGACTTAAGGATGAGCCTTGATGTAATCCTACAGTTATGGGAAAGCTTTCGGTTTGTCCTTCATGAGTTCTTACGGCAGTCTTTGCTCCTTCATACATATCCTTTATAGCTTGGATATATGCTACTCGTACTCCTTTCTTCTCTAAAATCCTCCAAAGAATGTCTCTTGGGACCCTATCATACGCTTTTTCCAAATCTATAAAGACCATGTGTAAATCCTTTTTCCCATCTCTATATCTTTCCATCAATCTTCGTAAGAGATAGATTGCCTCCATGGTTGAGCGCCCTGGCATGAACCCGAATTGGTTGTCCGAAACCCGTGTCTCTTGCCTCAATCTATGCTCAATGACTCTCTCCCAGAGCTTCATTGTATGACTCATTAGCTTAATACCCCTATAGTTCATGCAATTTTGTACGTCGCCCTTATTCTTGTAGATAGGCACCAAAGTGCTCGTTCGCCACTCATTTGGCATCTTCTTCGTTTTCAAAATCCTATTGAAAAGGTCAGTGAGCCATGTTATACCTGTCTCTCCCAAAAGTTTCCACACTTCGATTGGTATATCGTCTGGGCCTATTGCTTTTTTATGCTTCATCTTCTTCAAAGCTACAACCACTTCTTCCTTCCGGATTCGACGATAAAAAGAGTAGTTTCTACACTCTTCTGAGTTACTCAACTCCCCTAAAGAAGCACTCATTTCATGTCCTTCATTGAAAAGATTATGAAAATAACCTCTCCATCTGTCTTTAACCGCGTTCTCTGTAGCAAGAACCTTTCCATCCTCATCCTTGATGCACCTCACTTGGTTTAGGTCCCTTGTCTTCTTTTCCCTTGCTCTAGATAGTTTATAGATATCCAACTCTCCTTCTTTGGTATCTAGTCGTTTATACATATCGTCGTAAGCCGCTAACTTAGCTTCTCTGACAGCTTTCTTCGCCTCTTGCTTCGCTTTTCTATACCTTTCACCATTTTCATCGGTCCTCTCCTTGTATAAGGCTTTACAACATTCCTTCTTAGCCTTCACCTTTGTTTGTACCTCCTCATTCCACCACCAAGATTCCTTTTGGTGTGGGGCAAAGCCCTTGGACTCTCCTAATACCTCTTTTGCTACTTTTCGGATACAACTAGCCATGGAATCCCACATTTGGCTAGCTTCCCCCTCTCTATCCCACACACATTGGGTGATTACCTTCTCTTTGAAAATGGCTTGTTTTTCTTCTTTTAGATTCCACCATCTAGTCCTTGGGCACTTCCAAGTCTTGTTCTTTTGTCTTACTCTTTTGATATGTACATCCATCACCAACAAGCGATGTTGATTAGCCACGCTCTCTCCTGGTATAACTTTGCAATCCTTACAAGTTATACGATCCCTTTTCCTCATTAGAAGAAAATCTATTTGTGTTTTTGACGACCCACTCTTGTAGGTGATCACATGTTCTTCTCTCTTCTTAAAGAAGGTGTTGGCTAAGAAGAGATCATATGCCATTGCAAAATCCAAGATAGCTTCCCCATCCTCGTTTCTCTCCCCAAAACCATGGCCACCATGAAAACCTCCATAGTTGCCTGTCTCCCTGCCCACGTGTCCATTTAAATCTCCTCCTATAAATAACTTCTCCGTCTGAGCAATTCCTTGCACCAAGTCTCCAAGATCTTCCCAAAATTTCTCCTTCGAACTCGTATCCAACCCTACTTGAGGTGCGTACGCACTAATCACATTGATAAGTTCTTGTCCTATTACAATCTTGATTGCCATGATTCTATCTCCTACCCTCTTGACATCTACAACATCTTGTACCAAGGTCTTGTCCACGATGATGCCAACACCGTTTCTCGTTCTATTTGTGCCCGAATACCAAAGTTTAAACCCTGAGTTTTCTAGATCCTTTGCCTTACTACCAACCCACTTAGTTTCTTGTAGGCACATAATATTTATCCTTCTCCTCACCATAACTTCCACTACTTCCATAGATTTTCCCGTTAAGGTTCCTATATTCCACGTTCCTAAACGCATTTTTGCTCTCTTGAACTCTACCCTTCTGTCCTAGCTTCTTCACCCTCCCCCGTCTAATAGGATCAAAGTACTTCTTTTGTGTGTCCCGGGTAAAGTTGATAGGAGCATATGCTCCCAAACAACTTTGAGTGGAGTCGTTCGAAAAGAAGTTTCTATGGCCCCCTTGCTCATTTAACACTGCATCCGGGTGCCGATGGAGATACAGCGACCCTTGCTCACTTATCACTGTGCTCAGGCCACACAGCGCGCCACTTACGGGTGACGCCCTAGCTTTAGCGCGATTTTGTTCTGGATTCATTTTCATAAGGATTCGACGTGATCATGGAGTGCCGGCTGTCGACTACCTGACGCCCTCCCCCTCCTCCTTTATCCGGGCTTGGGACCGGCCATGTAAGACATAGGCGGAGTTAATGAGGAGGTCAAAGACAGTATTTTACATTCCCATGGTCCTGTCACCCGGATCTATGCTCATTTCTCCTCTGATGATTATGATAATTCTGGTTATGATTTTCAGTCAATAGATAGAGAACCTGCATTACCATCCACAGGCCCAAGTTCAACGGGTAGCAAGCCTCACGAGATGCAAAGCTTTCATTCTTCATCTCCCAGTACCTCTGAGGATGACGGCATCCCAGAAGCTCCAGTTGCTCCAAAAGAATTCACATATTGTATTCAGCAACCAATCAAAGGCACTTTTTCTCCTCCTTCGCCTGGTTCACCTCTACAGGAGCACTTTGAATTCTCATCTAACAATAACGTGATAAACCGACTTGGGAAGGGCAACTGCAGTAGTCGCTCAGATCAAGAAAAGGTAAAGCCAAATAAGGTCACTTCACGACAGAACTCTTTAAAGGAGACAACACTAGCAACCGAGATGGATGTATCATTTAATGAGTACTCCAATACTGGGGCTTCCCAAGATTCTTGGGATGCAAACAAAGAGGAGGATCAGCCAAGAACCAACAAAGGGAGTGAATCATTTATTACGAACTTTATTAAGAAGAGCTTCAGGGATTTTTCCAAATCAAATCAGACAAATAATGGGAGAAGTAATGTTTCAGTTAATGGGCATTTAATACCAGATCGTGAGCTCAAGAAGGCAGAAAAGATGGCTGGAACAGTCCATCCTGGACAATATTGGTAAGTGTACTCACTAAACACACAGTGGGTTTCAATGCTTGATTACCTTGAATTGTGCTTACAATTTGTTATTGCTCATATATCCGTGCTTTGTTAGAGTTATATATAATAGCTGGCCTACATTATAATAGGTTTTGAAAGAAGTCATAAACCAATAAGACTAATCATCACAAATGGCTTTATGTTGCAACTGTAATCTCTCTCGCCTCCATTGTACTCATGTCTTTGCATTCGTCAATTTGGAAATGTAGGTATGATTTCCGAGCTGGATTCTGGGGTGTCATGGGTGGCCCTGGTCTTGGCATTATTCCTGTAAGTCAATTAATTCGACACTAATATTGTTAGACCGTTCACGTGGATTTACGGACCCATCCCCTGGCTCTGATACCATCTTAAATTTCAAGTAGACGGGCCATGGGCCCACTCCAACAACACCGATACTGTCCCCACTTGGCCACCTGCTCAATCCGTCAGGTGTGGGGTTTTAATACGAAAGGCCTCGGTGTTCGTTAGAGTGGGGTAATTCTATATAAATGGCTTGTTCTCAAGCCTTCTGGCCGATGTGGGACAAGGGAATTCTAACAAATATCAAATCTATAAGAATATAGTTATTTGCTAATGTTAATGGAGAATTCTTTTCTTGTGCAGCCATTTATTGAAGAATTCAACTATCCCATGCCTCAGAACTGTGCAGCTGGAGATACTGGTATTTTTGTGAATGGAAGGGAGCTTCACCATAAAGATTTGGATTTGCTGTCCAGTAGAGGACTTCCCACAACCAGAGATAGATCTTACATCATCGAGATCTCAGGGAGAGTCCTGGATGAAGACACCGGTGAAGAGCTTGATAGCCTTGGCAAGCTTGCCCCAACGTAAGCACTAATTATCCGATGGTTGTCTCTTTTAGTTCTTTCTACTTGTTGGATCTTTGATTCTTTTGTCATGGAACTTGAAATGAAAAACATGTTGAATATGTATATATTAGACATAGATAATCTAGGAGATACCTTTAGCAGAAAATGTTTTGAACATCTGTTCATGTGTTTATCTCCTACGCTGCTTGTTTTACATAATATAGGATACCCTTGGCATGATCTACATATAAGCATGGTTTGTTGTGCGGGAGTTTACATCTCTTTACGATTTAACTAATGCTATTGTATGCTTTTTAGCTATACTATTATTTCCTGTCACCTTTGGCGACCAATGTAGCGATATTTTGACTTTGTACTTCGGTTTTGTCATTGTAGATTTCGTTCGTACGGTATTACCTGTCTAATATAAACACTGTATGAGGGTCTTTGGGATGTTCTAATGTTTCTTACTTTGACCCTTTGAACCTTTGAACAGGGTTGAGAAGGTAAAACGTGGATTTGGCATGAAGCTTCCAAGAGCAGCTGCATAATCAACATTTAGAAATTAATAACTTCATCTCTCGCATGGAGATTCTCAAGTCATCCGCCCCGAGTTGGAAAGTAAAATTATTAGGGGAAAAACGAAAAGAAACCCGGTCTAGGAAAACTTCTTTGAAATGTTCTGCATCCGCACAATATTGCAGATAACCGAAAATGAATGATAAGCTGTTAGGATGGTCAGCAGGGTGGTTGTATCCGAAATCTGGAATAGCTATTTTCTGGTTTGATTTGTTAGTGTATGTAGATCATGCTAGTTTTCTTTGATCTGCGACTTTCCATGTGTTAATTTGTGTATATGGTTTGGTTTTCTGCTGTCCTGTTATATATTATTAGATTACGGTTTATCTTGATCAAAATATAAATTTTGCAGGTGGCATTTCTAAACTACATGCTAGAGCTTTTAAGTTTCAGTATTTTGTGTGACGTTTTTGTTTCCTTTTTTAATTGGGGCTCGTCTCAAAGATTCTAAGCAAGGAGCTTGCAGCTTAAATGGATAAGAGCGTTTATCCATGCACTCTAGATTCTGAGCTCGAGTCGCCGTTCTCCTAGTTTTGTAAAGGAGAATAAAGTCTCTATGATTCAAGCAACAACCATCCGATATCATTTGTTAGCTTCTCAATCTGGGAAATGAAGGGCTGGAGGCAATCTGTGGGAATCCAAGAGAAAGCTGAAACAGGCCAAGTCAATCATTGGTATGTCCTATGCAAATGTACAAAGACATGCAATTTCTACGGCAGCCTCGGGACACTGCGCAAATCCCATATGCAGTTTTGGTTGGCCATTAAGTGGGCTTTACCCCCATAGCAAGGAACTCATATTGGAATGAGAAATAATTTCGCACTTTATTTTTTCTTTTAACGTGTTTATCACTTTTTACTATAGAAAAATGAGAAGTGGTAGAAAGAGAAAATGAAAGTGAGTAAATCATTTCACCATAGAAAAATGTTAAGATTAGTTGTCTGTTGCGTTCACATGCATGAACATTGTGAATCAGTTTGTGCCACCTAATACGAGCACGCTTTATATGCCAGTCTTCTTCAGACGAAATGAAACTCTCTTATATTGGTGACAATTATCTATCGAATGAATCATACAGTGTTTAAATACACAACGATCATTTATGGCACTAGTGATATCGCCAAGCCAATTATCTATCGAATGAAATCGTTTGAACACATGACGATCATCTATGACACCAGCGATATTACAAGGACAATTATCTATCAAATGAATCATATAGTGTACGAATACATGATCATCATCTATGGCACCGGTGATATCACTAGAGAATTGTCTATCGAATGAAATTGTTTAAACACATGAAGATCATCTATGACACTGGTGATATTACTACATAATTATCTATGGAATGAATCGTATAGTGATTGAATATATGACACCAGTGATATCACTAAGACAATTATTATTGGGACACTTTAGATGCGGTCCCTAACTATCAATTATTTGATTGAAACCTTGTTAGTTTTTAGTTTTTTATTGAGGTCCCTAACATTAATGTAATAATGTAAGTTACTATATTTTTTAAATTAAAAATTAAAAATTGTTTATATTAATGAGATTTTAAATAAAACCCATAATTTATGGGATTAAAAATAATAAAATATAAATTATACTCTCTATTATATTTTGTGTGTGTGTGTGTGTGTATACATATATGTATGGGTACATTAACCAAAATTAACAAAAAAAGTTATTGTACCAAAACATGGATACATTCTCAAATCAACGAAAAGAATGTACTCATATAAGTTTAAACATGGATTAAAAAATTTGAATGGATTCTATATTAAAAAATGGTACATTTTACATATAACAAATTGATATATTTGAGAATGGGTACATTTAAGATTAAAAAAATTGAAAAATTATATGAATGGGTACATTTAAGATTAAAAATTAAGAATCTTTTTATATATATAAAAAAAACTAATAGGTACAAACTTAATTTAATTTAATTTTTTATTATTTTGGAAATCTTTGAATTGAAAATTAATTAGAAGTTTAATAGAGGTGTGAGTATTAAACCCTAAATTAATTACTAATTTTTATATTAAAAAATTATATAATAAACATGTAAATTCATTATCACATTAATGCTAGGGACTTGTGTCACAGCCCGTCCCGGAATTATAAACTCCGAGGACGTGAAATTACAGAAACGCCCTTAAACGAGATTAAGGTGCGTAAATTTGGTATTTGTTTTACCTAAAAACATCCTAAACTAGGGTTAGATTTATTATTGTATGTGTTAATATTTTGTATTTGGACTTTATGTAGGGTCCTACCTCCTGAAATCCTTCCCCATTTCCCGTTTTGTTGTCTCCTTCTCTCTCTCTTCCTCATCTCTCCCTCAGTCACTCTCACACTCCCTCATTCTCTCTCAAACTCTCGGACAAACACCAAGGCTCTCGAAAACTTCACAGTTTCAGGATGAGGAAGGTACCATCATGTTCGTGAGGACCATACGAACACATTGGTATTGTTTTCAGGTAAGGTTTCCCACGATTTCACGTAGAAAACTCAAGCCCGTGAAATGACACTATTCATGAACTTTGTATTTGTTGATTTTTAGGCCAAACTAAGATCATAGGGAGCTCTAGGAGGTTCCCACGAAGCTCGGAGTGCTTCGTTGGAAGTTTTTGGACGTAAGAACACGGAGATCGACAAGTTCAAAGTTTGGCCGGAGCTTTCGAGGCGTTTTCCGGCGAATCCCCGGCGAGTTAGGCGTCAAGGTAGGTATCAATCTCTTCGTCTCGTCAAGTACTACAACTTTCCTTTTTGTTTCACTCAATTTCGTTGAGTATTGAAGAAGTTATACTCATTTGAAAAATACCCAGTTTCCGGCGACCTCCGAGGCTTTCGAGGCAGTTTCCGGCCAAACCACGGCGAACTAGGTGTTGTGCAAGGTACCATTCTCTTTGTCTCTTCAAGGGCTACAACTTTCGTTTTTGAAGCACTTGATTTCGTTGAGAAATGACAAAGTTATGGCAATTTGAAAAACTGTTCAGAAAACGGCCGCCGGAAAAACCAGTCCGGCGACCCAAGGAAGAAGAAGGTGCTACAGTAAAAAATAAAAATAAAAATAAAATTATTTTAAAAATATGTCGACGTCCGTGACGTCGAGTAGATCACCGTGGTATATTCATATACCCAATTTAAGCACCGTATGAGAAAGTTATTAAGGATTGTTGGTTAGGTGTTCGAATAACGTTTTATAGTTTTGGTGAAAATGTGAATTGATGATCCGACCGTTGGATCGTCACCAAACTTTGATACGTTGTAATACGTAATATTTGAGGATTATTGGAACTTACGGATTGGGAATCCGAGTTACGGATCTTCCGGAATTGGAATTGTAAGTCCATAATATAAAATGTTAACCGTCACTTAGTTTTGGAAATTGACGGAGATCCGACCGTTGGATGGTAATGAAATTTTAGGATGTTGTCCTAGAGGTATAATGTGGACCTCTGGAAGTTATGGATTTAAAAATCTGAGTGGCAGATCTTCCGGATCGATCAACGTAGTGACGTATTTTATATAAGTTATATATTTTATCGATATGAATTCTGAGCCTGGATTTGATTACTATTCTAGGCGGCGATCGCGATCGTCATGACGCCTTGATGTGTGGTGCTAGGGAGTTGTTGGATGAACTCCAGGTGAGTGGGCAGTTTTGTTTTCCGTATATATATATATATATACTTGACGTTTCCCAGAAATTGAATTGAAATGAAAATATGTTTAAAATGAAATGCATATGAGTTATGTGGAAAAACGGGAAGTGAAATACCATGCATAGAATTGATATGAAAAGTATATAGAAATGTGAGTTGAAATGCCATGCATGAATTAATATATGATGCAAATGTATGAATTGGTGCGGTGGACGCACATGTAAGAATTGATTTATGATGCATATGTATGAATTGGTGCGGTGGACGCACAGGTAAGAATTGATTTATGATGCATATGTATGAAATGGTGCGGTGGACGCACAGGTGAGTATTTAATTACTGTTATGATGATGATGATATATATTGAGCTCAAATCCTGCACCATGGTTTAGTGCTTATAGTATTCACCGCATCGCACGCTCGCCTTGGATCCAAGTAGATGCTAGTCGTACAGTCCACGCGGAGTGGGTACGACAGACCAGTCGCGAGAGTGTTAGTGAGATTCCGACTGGTGGGTGACCTTAGATTATGTGCACAGATGATTTATGAGAAGCACTAGAGCGTAACTTGTGTGCAGAAGGCCGGACGGGTCACAGAGGTGACTCCGGTAGAGTGATAATGATAGATTTTGAGCTCTAGGTTCAACCGTACAGGGCTATTAGAGGGCCTCCGGTTGATTACTTTCTTGCACCTGATATGATTATTTGTTGATGCATCCATACTTAACTGTTGAATTAGACATGGCATGGCATGAATTGATAAAGAAAAAAATGTTGAGTTAATGAATTAAAGTATTGAGAATATATATGTATAATTTATATTTTACATTTCTGGGAAAATATACAGGTTTTACGGAGAGGGGTTACAACGTTTTGAAAAAATGTTTGGATTTGGAAAAGAATTGTTTTACTGACCCACTCAATTTTGGTTTTGCGCCCCTCCAGGTTCAGGAATCACAAAGGTGTGGTGACTACGAGGAATTCGACGGTGTTCTGACAGATTGGACAAAATTAGGACTCACCTTCGGGTGTATCAACTTATAAATTGTATAATTAAAGCTTCCGTATTGTGCAAATGGTTACGTCACTCTCACGTGACGGCCAGCATGCCCTCCTTCGGGACGGGGTGTGTCAGTTGGTATCAGAGCATGGTTGCAATCTTGGACATCTTGAGAAGTTTATAGTGAATTCTGTCAGAACTACACCGCCTCGTAGCAAACCACGTAGTTAGAGGAATTTAGTCTCCCTAATATAGCGGTTTAGGGAAAACTATTATTATGGTGATTCAGTCTATTATAAAAAGGGACATTTTAGACTGGTTATGAGTCGAATTTGAATCACCTTATGAAATGATGAACCTGAGGGAGCGAAGTAACGGTTTAACCATTTGGAAAAGATGTTTCAGATTATGCAAGTCAAAGGAATCTTCCTTCTGACAGGGGGTCGAGACGACTACCTGGTTTTGGGTATGAATTTGCATCCTGGTGGAAACATGAATGTTAATTGTTGTCACTAGAGGAATCAGCCGATTTAAAATTTTTTTAAGGAAAAGTTTATCCCTCCGGCATTTATTGATGGTAGTAAACAAGAGTTTACAAATATGAGACAAGGAAGGTGATGATCGAGGGATATTATAGAAAGTTTTCAGACTTACCTCGTTCCATCCAGATATTGTTGTTAATTTGGTGGAGGTGTTATGTTGTTTTAAGCTGGGTGGCAAAAAGGGAAGTGGTAATTTGGGTGACCACTATCCATTGTACTTCTTACCAGGAATATACGAGATGCTGTTGAGTCTTGAGGACTCTAAGAACATGAGCAACGAGAATAAAGAAGAATAAGAAATGAATGGGAATCAAAAGAAGACGATAAAGTTAATGATTCGTCATATCAAAGATATAGAAAGATTCAGAGCTTCGAAAGAAGTGAAGCTAGAATTAATTCTTCCAGCTGAGGTTTTAATGTCACTGGTCAGAGTAAAAGTGATGGATATACTGGTAATCCCAGATATTTGAGACAAGGTGTTTCGAGTAAAGGAAATGTACCTTGTGCAGCAGGTACAAAAATTAACACTTTGGGAAATGTGAAATTAATGAATGTGTTTATGTAAACAGAGGGGACCCAGAATTGTGAATCGTCCCTATAATCAGTTGTACTCAACAATTTTCTATGACATCATAGTGTTGATTCAACAAGTTTATGAATTTAGTAGTTTGGTCGGATTGACCGTGAGTACAGAGAGATTTGATGAGTTATATGTTCAGTCGTACAGACCATGAGAAGTGGATTCATTGACACATGAGAAATTGGTGAGTTATAGGCTCGGCCGTACCGACCACGCGGAGTGGATCCGGCCGACGTATTATTGAGATAAGAGTTGAATCAACCGTATTGGTCATTCTAGTTGACTTCGGCTGATATATTTTCTTATTATGTATGATATTACCTAGAGAGTGGTAAATAAATGTAGTTGAGACGAGTGTATGTATTTTGCATTGAGTGACAAAATAGTATTGTTATATCTTTGAGAGTGGTTGCCTACTTATCGAGACAACGATGATTTATCAGTATTGCGGGCTGCAGACCGTAATATTAATAACTCATTCGTGGATTCGTTAAGCAAGCAAACCGGTAGGTTATTTTATGTTAGTGTTGTACTTACTTAGAATGTTCAGTAATAATAAAGTATGTATTGGGTCAATTAATTTTATTCCATTAGAGTGATTGTTTATAGTTGTGACTAGATGGAATGTTACGGGAAACCAGTTACTTTCCATCGATCTGGATGACCAGAGATTACTTTTGTAAGTATGCAAAGTGGATTGAGTCAGGCCGTTATTTACGCTGTGAGAGCAAAGAGATTGTTTTCGAAAGGCTGTCAAAAATAATTAGCTCATGTGGTGCTAAATGATGTTGTTTGGAGTAGTGTGAATAATGTCAAAAGGGTTAGACTTTTCTTGATGTCTTCCCTGAAAGTATACCTGGATTGTCTTCAGGCAGAGATATGAGGTTCACTATTGAATTGTTGCCAGGTATAAATTTATGTTAAAGATTGGTTCAGGATGAGTTAAGGGAATTGGAAATTCAGTTGAGAGAATTGGTTGATAAAAGTTTTATTCAACCTAGTACAACACTGTTGAGGAGCACCAATTTGTTGGTGAGAAAGAAAATGGATCTTGAGACTGTTCATTGATTATAGACAATGGAGTCGGGTAACGATTGAGAACCGTTATCCATGGTGATATACTGATGTTTATTTAACCAGCTCAGAAGTAATTGCGAAGATTCAAAGATTGAATTGAGATCTGGTTACTACCAATTGAAGATTATGAGTAACGTTGTTCCTAAGATTGTTTTTCTGGACTTATTATAGTCTTTATGAAGTTTGGTGATGCTATATGGATACTCATGCTGTTTTATGAGTTGATGAATGATGTATTCCAATAATGCCTTGATAAATAGATATCATTTTCATTGAAGATATTCTGGCATATTCTGAGCCAGAGCAGAGCATGTAAACGTATTAAGTCGGTGAAGCAAAGATTGAGAGAACGTTGGTTGTATGCTAAGTTTAGCAAAAGCTAAAGTTAAATGGATCAAGTGGCATTCTAAAATTTGTTATGTCTGCTTAAGGTATTCAAGTGAATCCTTAAAAGATAGCAGAAATTGAGGAATTGGAACAACCACGAACTGTAATTGAGATTCGGAATTTCTTAGCTTACCAGGCTATCTTGAATGGTTGTGAAAGATTTTTCAGTCATTGCTTTGTCATTGACGAGACGGTTGAGAAAAGAGGTTATGTATGAGTGGGAAGGAAATTGTGAGCAAATGATTCAACAACTGAAGTATTTCCTCACTCATGCACGTATTTTGGTATTCCCAGAGAATAGTGGTAATCATAAATTTTTAGTGATGTTTCTTGAATGGTATTGGAGGCATGTTGATGCAAATGTTAGGGTGATTGCATACGTTTCACGATAAATGGAATCTCATAAGATGAATTACCCTACTGGTGATTTGGAAGTCACGATTACCATTCTTGCTGTGAAGTTATGGAGACATTATATTTTAGTGGGAATGCAAGATTTTTTTTTACGAATCCAAAAAGTCTTCAATATCCATTACTTGGAAGGATTTTGATATGAGGCAACAAAGGTGGATTGAATTGCTTAATGAACATGATTGTACGATCAGGGTGATCGTAAAGTTTGTTCTAGCTGAAGCATTTGGTGAGAAGACTACAGTAAGATTAATGTCTGGCACATTTGCCAAGAGTATCATCTTATGGATTGAAACCAACGGAAGAAAAATTAAGAATGGAAGATCGAGAAGAAGTTATACTTGTTAAATTTCAAGTTAGGCCTATTTGGTAAGGTCGTACTCGAGACTCAAATGCTTGACGAAGGAATTCAAGAATTAACCGAGGCAGAATTGGATGGTATGTTTATGCAAGAGAATGGGACGTATGTGCCAAATTATGTGGAATTAAAGAAAGCAATTTTGACGATATACAATGTTAAGTTTTTGGGTATGTTGGTTACTTCTAAGTTTTGGATAGCGTACAAGAAGCTTGGTTACCAAATTACCTTATAGTACACCTTTGTGTTGGACAGAAGTTGACAAAAGAGTTCTTGCGGGCCCTGAGACTATGGATGAGTCTCCTCAAAATATTCAGGTGAGTAAGTTAACCTGAAAGTAGCCAGGAATGACAAAAGAGATTAACAGATGGGTATGCCACTAATCGAGTGTATAACGTAGATGATTTTATATTTTTGGAAATTTCTTCATGAAAAGAAATAGTAAGATTTGGAAAGTAGACAAGATAAGATTTAAACACATCAGACCGTTTTGATCATTAAAAGAATCGATGAAGTTGCATACAAGTTTGTGATGCCTTCAGAATTGGCTAAGGCACATAATGTATTTTGTGTTCGATGCGTTGTCACTAGGTGGCAGAGTCGTCTCATGGAATTCTGGTGCAACTATTGAGAATTAAATTGGATTCGACTTGATAAGGAACCAAGGATGACTTTGGATTGGAAAAAGAAGGTCCTGAGAATTAAGACAGAGTAAGTGGTAAAAGTATTGTGGATGAACCATTCAGCGGAAGAAAACTACTTGGGAGACGGAAGAACGGATGAGAGGTATGTATCCGAGGCTATTTTATGAGTTTTGATGGGTTGGTTGGGTGGCTAGAATTTCGGGGACGAAATTCTATAAAGGAGGGGAGATTGTCACAGCCCGTCCCGGAATTATAAACTCCGAGGACGTGAAATTACAGAAACGCCCTTAAACGAGATTAAGGTGCGTAAATTTGGTATTTGTTTTACCTAAAAACATCCTAAACTAGGGTTAGATTTATTATTGTATGTGTTAATATTTTGTATTTGGACTTTATGTAGGGTCCTACCTCCTGAAATCCTTCCCCATTTCCCGTTTTGTTGTCTCCTTCTCTCTCTCTTCCTCATCTCTCCCTCAGTCACTCTCACACTCCCTCATTCTCTCTCAAACTCTCGGACAAACACCAAGGCTCTCGAAAACTTCACAGTTTCAGGATGAGGAAGGTACCATCATGTTCGTGAGGACCATACGAACACATTGGTATTGTTTTCAGGTAAGGTTTCCCACGATTTCACGTAGAAAACTCAAGCCCGTGAAATGACACTATTCATGAACTTTGTATTTGTTGATTTTTAGGCCAAACTAAGATCATAGGGAGCTCTAGGAGGTTCCCACGAAGCTCGGAGTGCTTCGTTGGAAGTTTTTGGACGTAAGAACACGGAGATCGACAAGTTCAAAGTTTGGCCGGAGCTTTCGAGGCGTTTTCCCGGCGAATCCCCGGCGAGTTAGGCGTCAAGGTAGGTATCAATCTCTTCGTCTCGTCAAGTACTACAACTTTCCTTTTTGTTTCACTCAATTTCGTTGAGTATTGAAGAAGTTATACTCATTTGAAAAATACCCAGTTTCCGGCGACCTCCGAGGCTTTCGAGGCAGTTTCCGGCCAAACCACGGCGAACTAGGTGTTGTGCAAGGTACCATTCTCTTTGTCTCTTCAAGGGCTACAACTTTCGTTTTTGAAGCACTTGATTTCGTTGAGAAATGACAAAGTTATGGCAATTTGAAAAAACTGTTCAGAAAACGGCCGCCGGAAAAAACCAGTCCGGCGACCCAAGGAAGAAGAAGGTGCTACAGTAAAAAAATAAAAATAAAAATAAAATTATTTTAAAAATATGTCGACGTCCGTGACGTCGAGTAGATCACCGTGGTATATTCATATACCCAATTTAAGCACCGTATGAGAAAGTTATTAAGGATTGTTGGTTAGGTGTTCGAATAACGTTTTATAGTTTTGGTGAAAATGTGAATTGATGATCCGACCGTTGGATCGTCACCAAACTTTGATACGTTGTAATACGTAATATTTGAGGATTATTGGAACTTACGGATTGGGAATCCGAGTTACGGATCTTCCGGAATTGGAATTGTAAGTCCATAATATAAAATGTTTAACCGTCACTTAGTTTTGGAAATTGACGGAGATCCGACCGTTGGATGGTAATGAAATTTTAGGATGTTGTCCTAGAGGTATAATGTGGACCTCTGGAAGTTATGGATTTAAAATCTGAGTGGCAGATCTTCCGGATCGATCAACGTAGTGACGTATTTTATATAAGTTATATATTTTATCGATATGAATTCTGAGCCTGGATTTGATTACTATTCTAGGCGGCGATCGTCATGACGCCTTGATGTGTGGTGCTAGGGAGTTGTTGGATGAACTCCAGGTGAGTGGGCAGTTTTGTTTTCCGTATATATATATATATATACTTGACGTTTCCCAGAAATTGAATTGAAATGAAAATATGTTTAAAATGAAATGCATATGAGTTATGTGGAAAAACGGGAAGTGAAATACCATGCATAGAATTGATATGAAAAGTATATAGAAATGTGAGTTGAAATGCCATGCATGAATTAATATATGATGCAAATGTATGAATTGGTGCGGTGGACGCACATGTAAGAATTGATTTATGATGCATATGTATGAATTGGTGCGGTGGACGCACAGGTAAGAATTGATTTATGATGCATATGTATGAAATGGTGCGGTGGACGCACAGGTGAGTATTTAATTACTGTTATGATGATGATATATATATTGAGCTCAAATCCTGCACCATGGTTTAGTGCTTATAGTATTCACCGCATCGCACGCTCGCCTTGGATCCAAGTAGATGCTAGTCGTACAGTCCACGCGGAGTGGGTACGACAGACCAGTCGCGAGAGTGTTAGTGAGATTCCGACTGGTGGGTGACCTTAGATTATGTGCACAGATGATTTATGAGAAGCACTAGAGCGTAACTTGTGTGCAGAAGGCCGGACGGGTCACAGAGGTGACTCCGGTAGAGTGATAATGATAGATTTTGAGCTCTAGGTTCAACCGTACAGGGCTATTAGAGGGCCTCCGGTTGATTACTTTCTTGCACCTGATATGATTATTGTTGATGCATCCATACTTAACTGTTGAATTAGACATGGCATGGCATGATTGATAAAGAAAAAAAATGTTGAGTTAATGAATTAAAGTATTGAGAATATATATGTATAATTATATTTTACATTTCTGGGAAAATATACAGGTTTTACGGAGAGGGGTTACAACGTTTTGAAAATGTTTGGATTTGGAAAAGAATTGTTTTACTGACCCACTCAATTTTGGTTTTGCGCCCCTCCAGGTTCAGGAATCACAAAGGTGTGGTGACTACGAGGAATTCGACGGTGTTCTGACAGATTGGACAAAATTAGGACTCACCTTCGGGTGTATCAACTTATAAATTGTATAATTAAAGCTTCCGTATTGTGCAAATGGTTACGTCACTCTCACGTGACGGCCAGCATGCCCTCCTTCGGGACGGGGTGTGTCAACTTGAATCAAAATTTGATAACTAATAAGATCTTAGTTAATAAACAGTAAGAACTAGAGACCAGATACTAATTTTTTCATTATTTATTGAATTTAGCGTTTGAATACATGATGGTCATTTATGACACCAGTAATACCACTAAGAAAATCTTCTGTCAAATGAATCGTATAGTCTCTCCTTCAGACTAGACAAGGATTGTCTGCCTCCTCTTATTTTCGGTGTCCTCTTGTTTATGTGATCACGATTAAGCCACGTTAATATTTTATATTACTATTCATTTTATCTTATTATCTCTATAAAAAAATAATATAAAATGTTAACGTAATTTAACCGTGATCACACAAAATAATAAGACACAAAAAAACATCAATAATGGAAGGGCAAACAATCATTGGCACTTCAAACTTGATAAAGCAGAATACTGGAAGGAAGGTAGGAAGGGGGGTTGAATGCAATGCACTTGCGGTTGGTAATAAAGCCAGTTCATGGAAATTGACCGATGTGATTGATAAGAAAGGCTCTTAAAAGCTTTCGCTTTCCCTATTACTAACGTTTAGCCCCAATAACTTATATAAAACCCTCTAAAATATCACAGTGATAAATTAGATAAGTTCATTAATTGTAATATCCTAAAAAAGAAAACCACACAAATTGTTTTTATGAAAATAGAAGCATTAAAATACACAAATCTTGTTCCTAATTATTTTAAATACATGCTTCCCATTCTACACAAAAAAGGTTGTATATGTATGGAAAAAAGTAGAAGAATGTTTCGATTTGAAAATACACCTGGCATTCGTGTTATGTTTCTCGTATTCGTATCGTTTTTGTGTTATACCCGATAGTTTAACTGGTCATGTCGTGTAACATCCGTTAAAGTAAACAGGTAATGACTCGACCTGAAATCGACCCGTTAATATTATCAGGTAATATGATCCAATCCGTTACTCGTTAAGAAAAATATATTTTAAATCAATAAATATTGCAAATGAAAAACATAATGTGACCCAAAAGATGTAAAACATAATACTAAATTAGTATATACATACTAAATTTCAGAGTTTACCTGTTCACAAAAGTTGTAAAACTTGTCATTACAAGTGATTATATATATTTTACATTTTTCACACTTCTACAATTATTAATTTTGCACTCAAATTAAAAAAAAAATACTATTCATGATATTTGAAGGGTTTTGAAAATCTAAACAACCATGTAACCATCGTCTAAAAGTAGAGGATGTAATTACGAGTGTTTATATATGCTTTCACATTTTTTAGACTTGTACATTAATAATTATGAATTTTATTTATTTTGAACTCCCTTAAAATACTATTCATGAGGGTTTGTATGGTTTTAAAAATTCAAAAGATAATGTACCCATCTTCAAAGCGTAGAGGATGCGATTATGAGCGTTTGTGTATATTTTCACATTTTTCACACTTGTAAATTAATTATTATAATTTTTTAATGTGTTTGGTATTTTTAAATTACTTAATATTTTTATTTTTACTGTGCTTTATAATTTTTTAATCTCACTCTTAGTCTATAGTATACTATAAAAATAAATAAATAAAACTTAAATTTTTAAAATTTATATAGAATAATAATACAATAATAATTAATAAACAATACATACATGACACACCCAGACCCGGAAAGTCCACTTGGACTCAGAATTGAGCTGTGCTGGCCGACACCTGGAAGGTGACGAACCCATAAAAATGTGATAGTGTGTAAAATGTGAATAAATTTGAACCTCAAATGTCTAAATACCATAGTCCATAAGTAAAGTACAGTAGTGTGGGTAATACTCATACCCTCAGAGGTGGCCACCAATACTAAGATTCACCACAGATTCTCGTCGATATGAACTCAATAGCTAAAACCTGAAAGGGCACAAAACAGAGAGTGTGAGTGAGCAATAAAACCAAGTTTCCCAGAACTATTACCTTTCCAAAAGTAATAACCCCTCATTGTAAAACTCATATCGTTTTCCATAAGACAATACTCCATATATATATCCAAACCACACTCAAGAATGGCCAAATCCACGGGTATGTCATGTTCACCAGCTCAACAATGCATTAACAAGTAGGCCAAATGAACTTAATCAATATAAAATAATATATCAGCCGGAGTCACCTAACGTGACATGTACGACTGTACTCATATCTCATCAATCATGTTAGCACATAAGTCGAAGTCACCTATATTGATCTGTACGACTATCCATATCTCATCACATATGCTAGCACATCACATATTTCATCACATATGCTAGCTCATCATATATGCTAGCTCATCACATATCCCATCACATACGCTAGCTCATTATATTTCTCATCACATATGCTAGCTCATTATATTTCTCATCACATATGCTAGCTCTTCATATATCTCATCACATATGCTAGCTCATAAGTCGGGAGTCACCTATAGTGACCTGTACGACTTATCCATAGCTCAATAAGTATACCTGCACACGAGTCGGAACCACCTATAGTGGTCTGAACGACATGAATGGGTGTAAATAAGTACACTCAAGTGTTACGATCACGTGAAGACTGTGCGAATAATCACGGGTCACCTACGAGTTGGAACCACCTATAGTGGTCTGTACGACAGGCCTGTGCACCTACCTTGGATCCAAGGTGAGCGTAAGGTGCGGGAGATGAGCATCACGTGAATGACCGTGCCCTGGCCACGGGTTAGAGCATCAACACCGGGGTGCAGGTTTATGAGCTCTAAATACATCTCATATGGCATAAACAACTCATAGGCAACCCGTACGACAATGTCGGAGTTGCCTAAAACATAATATAGTGATGCCATTACTCGATCATTTCAACTAATACCATAAACTCACCTGAACTTACCTGGGTGTCCTGCGTTCACCCTTGCATTTC